ACAGAAACTAATCAAGGAGAAAAGCAACCTAGTATCAAGGAGAAATTTCCTGACAGTCAGAACAATTAATCAGTGGAACAACTTGCCTCCAGAAACTGCGAATACTCTAACACTAGAGGTTTCTAAGAAGAGATTGGACAACGATTTGTCTGAAATGATATAGGATTTCCTGCCTAAGCATGGGGTTAGACTAGAATATCTTCAAGGTCCCTTCCAACTCTGTTATTCTATTCTATTCTATTCTATTCTGCTTTTCAAAACTTTTTGAGGTAGTTTATTAAATAAAATATAAACATAATCCATAAAATTTTACCTAGATTGCATTCAGAAACCCACCAGCTCATCATGTTAAAACTTAATGAACAAAAATCATATTCCTAGGTATCTTTCCTTTTAAAATATCCTATTAATCATTTAGAGATTGAAAACAAGAGTACAAAGTTTACTTACTTGCATGATAAATAAGCACTAGAAGAAGTGAAGGGTAGATTAGGATTGCAAGGGATGCCATTATTCCATTAAGAAACAAAGATGAGACTCTCCTGCTTAAGCTCCAGGTTCAACCTCAGTCGCCCCTCCTTCTGCTACCAGCTGCTGCTCCTTTCCCAGAACTCCTCCTCACCATTGCATCACTGAGCTTCCTTCCCCTGAGCTCTAAGGCAACACATCTGATTCTGGGAAAACAAATCATGAAATGTACAAAATCTCAAGCAGAGCTCAGATATGCTTACATACAATATACACAGCATATATAAAGTACACATGGTATGCTTTCTTTTGGAGCATGTTTATACTCTTACTTAGGCCTAGTTCGGGCATTCACTTCAACATAAAGGGATCTTGGAGTTGTAAGAGAGTGAGAAATGCATACTTACCAGCTCCTGTTTCTGCCAAGGTTTTATAAATTTCATCTAGAATGGGATGGACAACCTGTGATCTGTATATGCTCCCCCAAACCCATTTACACTATCCACTCCACCCACCCACCCACTCCCAGCCTCTTCAAAAAATCAGTCTAAATATGACTAAGACCAAAATGTTGGTTAAAAATATGACATCAAAAGCAAAAGAGGAGTTAACGAAAAAATTGGGTATCCAAACTGTCAAAAAAGTCAATTATCTTGGTACACATTTATCTGCGAGGTGTGTGACCATCAAAGAAAATAACTATATTAATTTGATCAATAAAACTAAGAAAGACTTAGAAAGGTGGAAAAACCCACAACTGTCCCTGAAGAGTAGGATCGCAGTCATAAAAATGAATGTACTACCAAAATTACTTTTCCTATTTCCGAATATTCCCATTAAATTAGAAAAAGGTTTTTTAAGGATTTGAATCAACTGGTTTCGAAATTTATTTGGCAGGGAAGAAAAACAAGAATAAAACTCAAGGTTATGCAAGACACTAAGGAAAAAGGAGGATTTGCCGTACCAGATTGGGAACTTTATTATACTGCGGCCACTCTAACATGGCTAAGAGAATGGATAATGTTGAGAAATAAAAGATTACTCAAATTGGAAGGTCATGACCTCCAAGTAGGATGGTATGCCTTCCTTTGGTATTAAAAAGAATCTGCACAGAAAT